CAGAGCATACCTGGGAACAGAGAAAGGACAGAACTGGGAGGGAATATGGATTGTAGAGATCATAACCACTTAGTTCAGCTTGTCCTTAATGCTTTGGTGGGTCATCCAGTAAAGCTTCATATGCTTTTTCCAGCTCATTCTGCACATTTGTTTGTTATAAGACACCACATACCAAGCTGACTTCAACATTCAGCAGTCTGATCCCTGATACAAAACAAGATGTATGCTGAAACACCACTTCAGACATACCATGTGAAGAAAGAGAAAGAAAGTCCTGAAGTGACAGTCGAGAGCTGGCATGTGGTTTTTCCCCTGATTTTAAGCAATAGTGAACTGAATAATAAGGCTTGCTGAAACTGTTTCAGAGAAGTCAATACTGACCTTAGAGTTTGGATCGTCTTGCAATTTCAGAAGGACCAAGAGCTTCTTATCTGCATTTCTGCAGCATGGTTTGCCCTTTGCCAGTCTGCTAAGACTAGTTTCACAGCTGTAGCACCTCTGCTAACCTACAAAATCATGTTGACCCATCCTGGGTTTTTCAGGAATTTTTTTTTAATTACTTTAGACTGTATGTCAAGAGAAGCTTCAGTGTTTGAAGAGTAGCTATTAAATAACTTTTTCAACAGTTGTAATGTAGTGAATTGCATTTGCAGTGTTCAAAGTGACAATATTAAAGGCAGTAAAGGCTTTGGCTAAAATAATATAAGGTAATATCTTTCTGTTAGGAAGATCCACTGCTCTGTAATTTGCAAAAGAAAATTCAAATTTTTGCAGTAATTCATAGCAGTCACTGTAGTAAAAGCAGGAAGGCCTCTTTTTTTCACAGCAGCATGTAACTGAAACCAGTTTTATTGACCTTCATGTGTATTTCCTTACATGCCAGAAAGTGTACCCATAGTTGTTCTTTTGTTAATCAAGTGGTTACTGGAGAGCAGAAAAAACCTCTATGAGTCAATAGTAGGTAGCTAAAAATTTATGTTATCATCATCACTTTAGTTAAGTGGTAAAATGAAGCAGTAGACAGGTCAGGTCATTGCTGTTACTCCTCCCTGGATGGCCTTTGCATTTTTGCTTTTTAAGACTGCCATGGTGGGGTCATGCTTTTATATGTGTGGTGAACAAACTAATGCTTACTGGCTGCTGTAGTTTAGTGAAATAGGCTGGAGGTGAGTGATGCCAAATGATCATTTCTGGATGTCAAGACTTAAGATGCCACATGGAAACTGGAATGTCTCTGAAGTGACATCTGGAAGTAGGACCCTTTATATGAGATCTTTTTCTTGATTTCTCACATTTTTACATGTTGTTCGAATGTTTTATTTTCCTTGATGGGTTTATAGGTCCTATCCATCTGAGATCAATTAGGACAAAACTGTCCTCTGAGAAACCATATATTAGGCTTTTATTCACTAGAGCTATGTAGTTTTGTATAGTGAAGTCACATTTAACAGCTTCGGGGCCATACCAAATCAGCGTCTTCTGAGTCACGTAAACCAGAAACTTGAAGTCTGTGAAGTCAAGCTGTGGTACCAAAAGATGCTCCAAGGGAGGTGCAGAAAACAGAAGCTAAAAGATGGGAACAATGCAGGACACCTGAAATTGTCTGACACGTAAGACAGCTACAGATTCTGAGAAAAACATTTGGCCTTTTAGGGCAAGCACCTTACTACAGCAGAGACACTGATGGGCCCAGATGAGTTATGCAGTGATGCAGAAGTTGTCGGTATTGCTGAATCACTCCTAAATGGCAGATGGTGGTGAACTGAGGAGGAGAAAGGGTCATAATTTTTGTCATTGTAACAGATATTCTAGAAGCACTTCCTTCAAGATGATGTTTTTGTGATACATGATTGAACTTCTCCTAACTACTCCAAGTAATGACAAAATTGCTTGGTTCTTCATTTCTGTGGTCACAGACAGCTGATCCACAAATCATGATGCTTAATCATAGTATGTCAGGGAGCAGTATGTTTTGTTTGGTAAGGATGCATCCTTGTGCCACATGTTAAGAGGTGTGCTACTCTGCTGCATGTCAGCTGTTTGGGTTTTTTAATCAGTTAAAAAATCAATGTGTTACCATAAATGACTTTCTAAATGTTGTAGTTCATGGTAGAATATGATTTTGTAGATATGAGTCATCTTTGCAGAGGATAAGAAATTCTATAATCTTTGTGCAAATTGTAGATACATATCCAGCGTGTTTCCCCAATTTGCAGTTCTCTAGATGCACTCAGAAAAGACAGCAGCACCTATCAAGAGAAGAATACAGAGTGTAAATTGCCTGTGACACCTGCAGTTGCAGTGCTTGGAAATGATATATGTGAATCTGCTTCCAAATTTAGGTATTTTTTTCAATGGTTTGTAGTGCAGGAAGCCATCAAAATCTCACTCCTTTGCTTTTGTTTGAGACTTTCTTTTTAATAGAGATTACCTTTTCTGTCATAATGCCCTTTCACAAAGTTCACTTGAGGATCCTGTTGCCTTTATTTGCAGTTCTTGAAAAAGACGGGTCTGCACGCTGATCACACGGGTATTAAGTTAGGAGCCACCTTTGTTTGCTTGAATGGAGCTGGCCTGTTTTTGCCCTGCTGTGAAAGCATAGTTCCCTCTGTACTTTGTTACTGCTGAAGATGATGAGTTAGGTTGGGAGTGGGGGGAGAGACGTCTTGTACAGTCCAACCTGTTTTCAGCTGGAATGCTTTTAGAAGCCTAACTAGTTGGCAGAAAGTCTTAATCATTGTATATGTTGGGCTCTGGAGTTTGAGAAGTAAGGCAGATGCAGAAGAACCTTCCTTCTCCTGTCCAAATTGAGGTAGGAGTGCAATATAAGCAATGAAAATGTAGCTAGGAGCAGAAGGGGGAATGTCAAATGGTTGTACACTTAGGAATTTTTTACTAATCCTGTGTTTTCTGTTTCTTGTACGGATGGTGAAAGATGAGTACAGGCATATTTATCCTCTCATCTCTGTTAAAAGTGCTCATTGGATTTTATGGGGTTATGCTTTCTCTGACATTTGTGTTCTACCTGGAGTACACAGAGCTAACCAAAGCTGACCTTAGTTAGGTCCTTTATCCTTAGGTTTTTTTTTTTTCTGGTCTGTGATAATGTCTAGTAAAAATGATCATTTTCTGTCCTTTTTACATGTGGCAAACAGGACTCTGACCGTATCTCTGGTATTCGTCTTTCTTTGCTGAAGTCTGTTTCATCTGTAACATTTTTCCCCATCTTCAGTATCCAAGAGTGGCAGCATTTTAGGATTGAGATAAAAGAATAAACTTAAAAAAAACCTAACAATGAGCTGCTGTAAATTAGGTGCAGTGACACTGCTGCTCTTAAGCATGTTTTGAGAAGGAAAGAAACAAAGGTCTTCTGAGATCTTTCTTAAGTTACGTTCGCGACAGCTCACAAGACAGTGATGAAATGTGCTGGTTAAGGATCTTGAGGTTGTTGATGGAATTGTACTGAAAATCACTTTGCTTGGTCAAATAGCAGAGTTTCCCTACGTCAGAAGTAGTTTCAAGTTGATACTGTCTGTTTCCTTCATCTGTTATGCACAGTGGAACAATTAGTGAATTTTCTTTGACTCCCAGTGAAGGCTTTCTCAGAGGAATACTAAATCCCCATTTTCTGTTCTCTCCGTGAGTATAGTAGTAGAATTTTGGAGCAAGGAGTGGAAAGAATTAAAGGTTACTAGCAAGAAATCAGTAGGAAAGAATAGGGGTCACTGGAAAGCTGTATAAAGATGGAAAAAGTGATCCTAGAGCTTGGCAAATGAGACAGCTACATGTGACGTAGGGTATGTGGGGATGTGCTGAAATGGGAAGCAGGCATTTTAAGATGATGCTTTTTAAGAAGGAGGAATAATTTCCATAGTGGCATGCAACTGCTGAGTTAAATGAACAAAAATAAAAAACCAAACCCAGAACTGACTCAGAAAAGCATGTGGAGTGCAACTTTCCTACAGCACTTATCTGTTCTTTGCTTGGCAAGTTAGTGCTGTGTCTGAAACAATGAACCAGTGGCCATGAAACTCACTAGCATTGTTTGCATGACTACACCATGCTCTCAGTTTGAAAAACTCCAGTTAGGTTTGGGGTCATTTATTGGTGTGTTTATTGGATGCCGAATACACTCAGCATGAATAGTTTTCCTTTATGACTGCAGCATAGGAAGTGGTACATACAGACAGCAATAGGTGAGTCTCCAAAATCCTTTCTGTGGTGGCTAATTTGTAAGTTGTGTGGTATATGTCTGGCCTGATTGAGAGGAAAAATATGCAGTATCTAACAGAATTTTTAAATGGGGTTAATTTCTTGGCTGTTTACAGTTTTCCCATGATTTGTTTGCTTTTCATTGGACAAAAGAACAGAAACATAAGCAGAAGCTGTATGTTTCTAACCTTCTTAAAGCTATGGAAATAGCTTCATTCTGTTGATCATCTGTTTAGACTTCACCCTGCAATTCAGTATATTGACCTACAGTAAATCTGTGCCTATCTGGCAAAAAAAGGAAAAACAAAAAGTATAGTTGCTGAGGAAATAAATGTATCCTAAAGTACAGCAAAAAAATTCTATGAGTACTCTTCTGTGAGGTGGGCAGAGGGAGGTTGCTTGGTTTTGAGTGGGGTTTTTTTTTTTTTCATTTGATGTGGAAAAGAAAAAAAAAAAAAGAAAAAAAAAAGAAACAATACAGATAGCATGATTCCAATGCTGTGGAGGTGACCATCTTTCCTTGCAATGTCTGCATGGTCTGTGCATTGCCTTATTGCTGTATTCAGTTTCTGCGAATTCTAGTTTGTGTGGACAAGTGAATTGTTTTGCTGTTCTGGACCAAATTCCAATGTACCCTTTTAAACTTCTCTTGAAAATCTATTGTGAATGGTCATGTAAGCAAGCCAGGCTGTGCAAACTCACTGGCTTGTTTTGCAGCAGCCTGGCTTGGATGTTGACTGAACCACTTCTCTTGTTATTCTCAACAATTATTCTTTTTCCTTCCTACTAGGAGCAAGTGCCAGCATGACTAGGGTCTGAGGAAGTGCTTCTGTGTTCCTACCAAGGGTTTGTGGGTGCAGAGGAGGGGTGCAAGGACAGCAAGGACATTTTGAGCTACCATGGATGTCCCCACTGATTTGGTGCCATCCTCCATGATGTCCCAGCCTGAGGTGATTGAAGTGAGTAGACCATGATGAAACTCTGGCAGCTGAACTTACTGAACCTTTTTCATTGAATCCTAGCTTTTATTCCTGTCTCACTTCAATTCAAGGGAATTTTTCCTGAAATACTGTATTAAAGATACTCATCATTTGCTATGAATGTTATTATACTTTGACACGTGACATTGCTGTATAAGCAAATACATGGGAAAATATGATCTTTATTGATTTCATGTAGGTAATCCTGCATTACGGTTTGTTTTTTCCTATTTCTAATGAATGCAAGGTAGAAGGTCATAATGTGTTTCAGTGTTCTTACCAGAAAAGCTAAAGTTTTAAGTGCAAAGCAGTGATAAATTTAATAATACACTTAGAATTACTAACACACTAATCTTTCTTTCATCATTCAGACTGTGTGTTTCAGATGTGGTATGTATAAATACCTAAGTGATTTCTTCGGCTCCATGTACTGAACACAAGTACTTGTGTTTTCTGGTGAATTAAATATTACAAACAGAAAAAGAGATGCTAATAACAGTCAAGATTTCATCTCAGAAAAGCATTTTTATAGTGCCTTGGATTGCATAGAAACCCAAGTGTCTGTTCCAAGTTTTAAGGGTGTGTATCTTACTGTAGAGGGCACCAAAATTGATTAAGTTAAATGGCAGAAAACTGGACATCTAATGTTTATTTTGCTTTTTTTGTTTGCTGGAAATTCTTTGGCTCAGGATACTACACCTCTTAGCAGTATGCATTGAGAAGTGCAGTAGTTCAGACATCTCTGGACCCTGTGAAGTTACAACAAACATGTCCACTAATGGGTGGTGATGTGAAATGAGCTGAATCCAAAATCTGCTTTGGAGAAACTTCTTTGTGCTCCTTTTCTTCCTGTGTTTCAAATGAAAAACTAGTATATTTTAAAAGTATTTTTGTTACTTTTCAAGTCTCTGTCCTTCTGTCCTTGTAAGAGTCAGAGAAGGATTTAATGTCTTTACAGCAGAACAGAATACCTGTAGGAGGTGGGTGCTGTATGCTTGTGTCCCAGGCTGCCTGGCTACTGCCAGACTCTTTCCATTCTCTGGAGAAAAGCTCCGAAGCCAACTCCTTGCATACTCTGAAAGGCAGTTGCACCCCTGTCTCCATGGGTTCTTTCTTCAGAGCCTTCTGTATGTATGAGAAACTTGTGTATCTAAGGATGCTGTTCAGGATAAATGTCATCTTGAAGGGAAAATAAGGTCAACTGTGGTGCAAGAATGAGTGGAAGAAAAGTTATCACTTGCAAAGGATTTGGTGATCAGCAGTCACCATTCTGTTTTACTTACAGGTGAATAAGTGCAGGTGTCCTGTGTCTGCAGGGAGATTCTACTGAATAAATCCAGTATTGCATTGCTAGGACTTGCATCACTAGACCAAAGACTAGAGATAAATGGATAGTTCTTGTCATTGACTGGTAATCCAGACAGCTCTCCCTCCACTTGAATTTTAGAGACTGTGCTTCAATGAGATTTGACTCAGGAGTCAAAAAGAAATTGCAACAGAAAGCAAAGACAAGACTCATTTCTCAGTGTGGGAGATTATGGTAGAAAATAACATTATCTCAACCTCATGTTGTAAAATTTGATATCCGTACAGGCAGACCTACATGCATTCATGAATTCCCATAGATTTCAGTAAACCATTGTGGATCTGATGGTTTCTCTAAGTCTTCAATCCCCTGGCAGCCATGTGTATGTTTCTAAGGATAAAGAAGTTTTTTTAACAGGCAAGAACACAGTGAGAGACACAGCTAAAGAGATAAATCATTAGGTGGAAATATTGAAGACAGGGACTGCATAGACTTGCTGTTCATGTTTGTGTTGACATACAAATTAATTTTGGATATAGTTTGGAAAACTATAATGTATAAAATACATTGGTTTGTTGTTTTTTTTTTCTGGAAGACATTATTTTGCCTTTTAAAACTGAGCAGATGCCACAGCGTGCTGTAGAAGACATTTAGAGACTAATGTTTTAAGGATTTTTTTTAAACTTGGAAATAGCCTTGCATGCCTTCTGCATGAGCTAGATAGCATCTCAGTTACAAAAAGAAGCGTTTTGCTCTTTTCTTTAAACTTTATCTTTAATCATCTGTCTTAAAACTTTTTTTAGTATTGCCAGGATAGTTGGTTTCTTTCACTTTTGATCAATTTAGTCTTTAGAAGTACATAATATCTATTTTGGGTACAAATGGATGTATATGTGTGTATACATCTCAGTAATAAATATTCCTTTGCCCGTCATCAGTCCTTTAACTGCACAGAGCAAACAAGAATAGGCTCTTATTTACCACAGGGAAGAATCCCAGAGACCTCATCAGGGCCTTTTGCAAACCAAAGCCTACACCAAGAGGTTTTACCTTAGTCTTGAATCCTACAGATGTTCATTGTGGTACCACAATGAGGGAAGTTACTGGTAATTAAATTGCAAATGTTATTTTTCTCAAAATTTGTCTTCTAACCCAGGTAACAAAAGATTGAGACTTTGAAAGTCACTTCTTCATACCGGATGTGAAATTGTCGTTACTGTTTTAAAATGTTCTTGTTGCTAGTGTGTAAACATAGGAACTGCTTTTGGTGTTCGTTACAAACCCTCTACTGAAGCAAAGTATTTTTCATAATCATGTGTCTTCATACCTTTCCTATGCATTGAGCTGTTTGTTCTCTGCTCCCATCTTCTTTCCCCCTAGCATCCTGTTGCCAAATGTAAGAAGTGGTGATTAAGAGCACAGATTTAAGGCATCTTGGTCATGTTTAAACGTGAAGGATAAGTAAAGTTTCAGGGCAGCTTAGCTATCCATACCTGAAATATGGAATGGAAAACAGTTCCAGGACATCATTCATAATATGTCAAAAAAGTCAATGAAATAAAAAAATTTCAGAATATGCTTTTTTTTCCAGTGTGGTTTAGTGATTTCAGATTAGATAAGCCATGCTGCTCTTGGAAACAAAACATAACAAAACTTTCTGATTTTTAAGTTGGGGATATTTTGTGGTACATTTGGCAACTTCATTCCTCAACTATGTATAAGCAAAATTATATCATATAAACTTGGTTAGTCTGATAATGCAGTAAGCGGAAAGGTAAATAATTCTGTAAGAAGCATTAAGCATCCCAGAGGCTTTTGCTGTTTGCAAAAAGGAAACATAACAAGTGGTAACCTAAACTGATTAATGTGCTCTGTGGAGTGATTAGTATCTTCTCTTTGTGAATGGCGTGAGATGAATTCTACAGTAAAAGCTTTGAAGAAGAAATGATCTGAGCTCCAGTTGCTTAATGAACCAGGGACTTCCAACAGTGCTTCAGAAATGCTTAAAACAAGAAAGCAACAAAAATTCATCATTCTCTTTTTGCTTTTGCCAGCCGTGGATCCTATCAGCCAAATACTAGAAGTAAATGAATACATTTAAATAACTGCCTTGCAGCTGTTCCAAAAAGAAATCCAGAGCAGTTTCCATTATAGTGGTCTTTCATGGCTGTGTGGTTACCAGAGCCAAAAAATACTTCTCCCACTTGGTGCCATTGAATACTTCTGTTTTCCCTTCTTTTTCTTTGAATTAGAGTGAAAGAGACTTAATCTATCCTTGCCACAGAATGGTCATCCTCAGTTGCTTTTTCCTCTTTATAATGATGCTTGAGAACAGACTTCTAGGGGGAGGCACAGCTGCTGTAACCCCCTCCCCAGCAAAGCTCAACACGCTTTGTATTTCAGATTTGGTGCCCAAATTTCTGCAGCCAACAAATGTGGAGATTTCTTTTCCTTCCCTTCTAGGTGAGTAAACAAATTAACCTCTTTACCAAAACAGTCCTCTGGCAGTGGTAAATAAGGCAAACAAGAGAACAAAAGGAAATGGTGAGACTGGCAGAAACAGTTTGTGATTAGAAGTACATCCACCCAGTTACAGACATCATAAGGAAACTTAAATACCAGCAGGCTGTCTTTTTTTTAATTGGTATACTATTACCAGGGCCTCAAAATACATCTCTGTTTTGTTCAAAGTAGACCAATACTGCCTTATAAGCAGCTGCATAGTACTGAATGAACAAGTTACCCAGAGCCCTGAGAAGGATTTTTCTATATTCTGTTTATAGATTTCACAAAGCAGTGCATCATAACAAAAGAAACCCAAACTGTCTGATGTGTATTTCACAAAAAAAATTATTTGCAGTGGTAAACACTGGATAGTCTTCTTATTCCATTTGGAAATCTCCATTTCCAGCCCCAAATGAAATTTGCTATGCTCATTAACACAATTTTGAATAAGCATTTTGCTTGTAGGCTAAACTCTCCCAAGTGCTAACTTTGCTGGTTTGCTTAGTGAGGAGAGATGGAAGGTGTGCCATGGAGACGGAAGTAGCCCAAATAGCCTACAACGTTTTTTCAGCATAAAAGGCCAGCCTTTCAGCTGCTGGAGCCAAGAATTAATTCCCATCTTGGTTCACTGATCACCAAAATTGGGCCCAAAGGACACATGTTGTAATTCATTATGCATGGAAAATCTCTTGTTAGAGGTGTGGATTTTTCCCTTTTTCCTCTCCTGTTTCTTTCCTCTGATGACTTCTGAAGTGACACAGGTAGTGGACTGTGTACTGTGCGTCTCTCCAGAAAGCTTTTCCTGGGCCTGGGCTTTTCGGTCTGTCCTGCACAGCAGCTTTCAGGGGCTCATAGCAGGTCAGATGTGTGGCTATGATGTTCAGGTTGAGGATAAGACACGTAGGCAGTAGGCAATGAACTGGGTGAGATAAATTCATAAGACTACATGATGACACAGGCTATTTTTTGAAGGCATAAAAAGTGCCAGTCACCTTTTATGTTTCAGTCACTAAATTAGATAATGGAACATAATTGCCTCCATGTGTCTCCCACATAGCCAGGAGGTGAGCTTATACCCATGTTTGGCTAAAGTTTGTGAAGCTTAGCTTGTCATGAAAGCTCCTCCAGAAGAAAATGAAGCTTGAAGAGCTTTGCAGAAAACCTTTCT